GTGTGGGTATATTTGCTTGATTCAAAACGAACTGTAGGGAGTGTTTTTAAACAATTTTGTGCCATGGTTGAATGTCAATTTGGGAAGAGAATAAAATGTGTGAGAAGTGACAATGGTACAGAATTTGAGTGCTTGAATGAATATTTTTTGGAGAAGGGAATTGTTCGTGAGACATCTTGTGTGTCTACACCACAGCAAAATGGAAGGGTGGAGCGTAAGCATCGACATATTCTGAATGTGGGACGTGCTCTGAGATTTCAAGCGGGGCTTCCGTTAGAATTTTGGGGAGAATGTATACAAACGGCGGCATATTTGATTAATCGGACTCCCTCGTCTCTCCTAGGAGGGGTTACACCGTATGAAAAGCTTTATGGAAGGGCCCCTGCGTTAACTCACATTCGTATTTTTGGTTGCAGATGTTACGTTCACAACCTGAAGAGAGACGGAGATAAATTTGCACCCAGAAGTATTCCTGGAATATTTTTGGGCTATCCACAAGGAAAGAAGGGATGGCGCGTGTATTTTCCGGACACTGGGAAAATAAGCGTGTCCCGAGATGTTGTGTTCTGTGAAAACATTTTTCCCTACTTGATTTCCACAGGTGAAATGTTGAATGAAGATGGAGGAAGTGTTTCTTCTCCAGTTGAACACTTCGACGATGAAGATGACATGACTGCGGAAGAGCAGCTGAACCGTTCCACGAAGAACGGTCGACCGGAGGAGACCAGTGAAGCAAGTGAGCTACAGACGGTAGACCTGGTGGACCATCCCGCTGTCCACGGTTGACCGTCCGAGAGGCAGAAAGATGGACCTCTGGGAGTGCAACCAACGGTCGACATGGTGGACCATCCTGATGACCACGGTCGACCGTCCGAAGGGCAGAAAGATAACCTCCAGAGGATGATGAAACGGTCGACCGTGACGAGGAGAACGGTCGACCGTCTCTACGGCAGAAAGAAGATGCTCAGGAACCATTACAGACGGTCGACCCCGTGGATCGTTCCACGGATGGCGGTCGACCGTCCTCTCTCCAGAACACAGCAGAGACTTTGGGACGTGGTCAGCGGGAAATGCGCCCAAATGTGAGGCTTGCGAACTATGTTACGCATGTGGCTGGTCCACAGATCGGAGAAAAGTGCAGATATCCACTCTCCTCATATGTCACTTATGCGAAATTTTCTGACAAACATAAGTGTTTTCTCGCAGCACTTGATGAAGAAATAGAGCCTAAAAATTTCAAACAGGCTTTTCAGGATGAACGTTGGAGGAAGGCCATGCGAGAAGAAATTGATACGTTGGAAGCCAATGGTACGTGGTCTCTTGTTAGTCCTCCACGTCATAAAAAGGCTCTTGGATGCAAGTGAGTATATAAAATCAAGCGCAAGTCTGATGGCAGTATAGAGAGATACAAGGCTCGGCTTGTTATACTTGGTAATCACCAGGTTGAAGGTATTGACTACAAAGAAACTGTTAAATATATTCTATATTTAATATAAATATATTGTTTCCTATTATTGTCTCCTACCTTGTATAGGATTAGGAATATATTGTTTCCTATTATTGACTCCTACCTTGTATAGGATTAGGAACTCTTATGTATATATAGACATGTACCCCCACACATTTGATCAATGAAATTAACCTTTCTACATGGTATCAGAGCCTAAAAATCAAAAACCCTAAACCCCCCCTCTCTCTCTCTCGTTCGGCCTTCCCTCTCTCGCCGTCAGCGCCGACTCCCCACGGCAGCTCTCCTCACCGGCGACACCCTCTCCTCCTCGGCGGTTCTCTTCTTCCCCTCACCATGGCCGAAAACAGCGAGATCACTTCCCAAAATAACTCCTACAAACCTCCTCACCTTGCTTTCACAACAATCTCAAACGTGAAACTTCACGTCCCCGTTCAACTCAGTCTCTCCCAACCTAATTACAAAAAGTGGAGCCGACTCTTCCTCCTTCTGGTTCG